TTCAACCAGGGCAATATTTAGATAATCAGATTGACCATGGGTACAAACTAAGATTTCTGAAATAGAAGCTTATTTGTTTGTTAGTTGCTGTTTTAGTTGTTGTTGTTCAAGCCAATGATTTTAGCAGATGGAGAAGTAGAACCATTTTTCATTGAGCAAATATTTATTAAGCTCCCACTTGGCACCACTGTGCTGGATGAGGCATGCATTGATGGCAAGAAAGCATAGTCCCTGGCCTGATGGATGCCTTACAACTAAGACTTGACTTGTGTCACTATCTTTATGCAGGTCACACAACTGGTCTCTCCTTAAATAATGACCGGCTGTACAAACTCACATACTCCACTGAAGTTTTCCTTAATCGGGGCAAAGGAAAACTCCAAGACAGTGTGGGTTACCGAATTTCATCCGATGTGGACGTCGTCTTACTGTGGAGAAATCCTGATGGTGATGATGACCAACTGATCCAAATCACGGTGGGCATTTTCTACCAGAGAGTTGCAAACATTAGCTGTCAGCAAAGTCTTTGAGAAGTATACCATTTTACGGCTCTGGTGTTCCTAGTTGTATATTCTTTTAGTTTATCATTAAAATGAGTAGATCTGCAGTTTTGAAGTTATTGCTAATCAAAAGTGATCTAATGTTTCCAAATTGTTGAAGCAGGCAAAAGCAGGCATATGCTGGTGAGTAACTGGAGTATGGTATCCAGTTCTATATGTCATATTAATAAGCACATTAAACTAGAATCCATTTGAAATGTTCTAGGTATGAGGAGTCAAGAGTCCATGTCATGTGAAAAACAATTGAGGCCACTCTAACTGAAAGAAAAGATAAATTGGGACCTCCCAATTTTCCTGAGTTTCTTGAAATAAAAGGTGGAATTACCAATGAGGGAGCAAACTTATTCTGTATTCTTCCTGAGGAAAGAACCAGGTGCTCCTCTGCATGGCAGTGTTTGGCCACTTATGATGCTTTAGATTTATGGGTTGAGAAAGGAGGTCATATGCCTTTGGGACCTCATCCAGTTTTACTATATGGTGATTCCATATTTGCCTTTCAAGGACCTAAAAGCAATAGATTTCTTTTGTAAAGTCAGTTATTCCTCTACATGTTAATGTGAAACATGTATACAGGACCAAAATTTGCTTCATTGTAACTGAGAAGTAGTTGCTGTTATATTTTATAATGAGGTGTCATTGGAATACATTTAACAAGTGATCTTTGCCTCTTTGGATGTCTCTAACAGCTGTTGTATTTTCCAAGTTGGATCAAAACTTCATCTACCTCTCCAAGCCATTTCTCAATAGAGCAGCATTCTGCAGAAAACATTCTGTCCCTCCTTGTTCAGTAATCAGACTGTTCATGTTTAATTTTGTATATACAGATGAAGTACAATGGGGCAGGATTTCTTTCAAACAAATGGTACAGATAGTGAATATATCAGGCAAATAGCAACAGTTCAAAATGAATGAGAAGAGTGATAATGACATAAAAGAGCCATCTTCTAATCACAATTATTATAAATTTGAAGTCACAGATTTCTTTAAGTAGCAGTATTTTTACGAAATTCAAAAAGCTAATTGTTGAATGCCTTCTCCATTCTTTTAAAGTTAATGGCTAGATCCTCTGAATCATGAATTGAAAAACAACAGAAGAAAATATGGCCAACCCTGTTCATTGATTTACCATTTTATTTTCTAAGAGACTCTGATGATATAGAAAGATTTTCTAATGTGTTTCTCTCTATGATTCCAGATACAGGATGTAAACGTTGAAAATGTGAATCAGAAGAGGGGAGATAAGAGCATTTTCAAAGGAAAAAATCCATCCAAAATCATAAGAAAAGAAAACCTGGAAGCTTTACAAAGACCTGTGCTCCTGCATCTAGTCCATGGAAAGGTAAAAGTGATTTTGGGGATCCCACATCTTTTCTTCTCCAACTTCATATTTTTCTTTCCTTCAGGAGAAATTATTTTTAGGTGATTATGGTGTCACTACTTTTATGGTAAATAGAATTTTTCTCAAGAACTAAATAAATAGAGATTGCAAATTAAGTGTTGCAGAAGTAAATCAAGGCATTGAAGACACTTAATTTTCTAGCCATCTATGTTCCCTATTTTTATGAAAATCTTTATAGCAGAACCAAGTATTTGTTTATTGATGAGAGGGATTATTAAAAGGTTTATTCTTATTACATTAGAAAGGATTACAAAGATATTGTAACACAGAATTTCATCACAGATGATTGGATAAATTCAGGAAAGTAGACAAATTATGATAATGAAATTATCTAACTTAGATAAGTGATATTAACTTGTTATAAGAATATCGATGTCTGAGAGCTCGCTCAAGAGTTTGAGCTTTGAGCAACAGTGGTTCGAGTCCAGCCCGAGCTGAGCAGCCGCTGAGCTGCCAACAGGTAGCAGGATGGCTCAGCTAAAAAAAAAACAAAAAACAAAAAAAAAACCCACAAAAAGAATATCGATGTCTGGCTAAAGTACAAAATTAAAGATTTTGAAAGGATATGGCATTTCTAAGGTAGAGTTGATTTTTTTAAAAAAGCATTGAGAGGTTATTTTAAAACTATGACTTTGAAAAACATTTTATATATTAAAGTAATGAATGAACACTATAATCATTTGAAAATTAGCTCAGAAAACTCTGTAAGTGTACATTACTTATAGTTTGATTTTAGTCTATTAACACATTGTTTGCGGGAAACGAGTAAACTCGTCATAGCACTTTTTATACCAAAGCGCAGACGAGTTAACTCAGGTATAGAGACCTCTTTGTTACGACGCGATTTGGCGGGAAAATGCCCGCTTACAAAGTGTTAAGATGATCTTAATATGTGTGGAATTGAGAAGCAATTGTGATCAATGAATTAGGCATTATATATATATATGGGTTTATGAAAAGTATAGATATTACATTGATATGCATAAAAATGCATTAGTAAAGATGAAAGGTCAATTTTAGGAACTAAAGTAGAAAAATAGAAAGGGACTCTTAAAGTTAAAACTCTACACATCTCTAAAATTTCTCCAGATGCAAAATTTCTAGATTAAAAGTAAAGATGAAAACAAATACCTTAAAATATAAATTTCAGACATGTAATACACTTCTCATCATGATGCACGATTTTACATGAAGTACTAAAAAGGGACTCACAAGAAGGATTGTTTTGTGGTCACCTATCCTACAACCAAATATGAAATTACCACTTCAAGAATGCTTCTCTTTCTTCTCCACTTGTCAAAATACTTACCATGCTTCAGGTTTTGCCTACAGGACCTTTCTTCCATAAAGTTCACACTCTTCTAGCCAGCTGGAAATAACCAGCCCTCTTTAGAACCCTCTTGCACTTTGTAGCTCACTCATGGCACTATCACTTCCCTTTTGATAATTTTGTTCATTGCTAGATTATGAGTTTCAGCAGAGAAAATTCCCACTCCTTTTTCTATTCCAGCCCTCCATTCACCTTCATGCCCTTCCGCTGTCTTCCTCCCCAAAGCACCCAGAGTCATGCCTTGCACTGGCTGACTTGGTGTTCCAGGAAGCTTTTCCCAACATTCTCTCAAACCCTGTACTCCCCTGGACTTATTTCTGTCCAAGCACTTATCACAGTGTATTGTAATCCTCTTTTTATTTGTCTGCCTTTCAGCCAGAGTAGACTTCTCATGGGCAACAATTTTGTCTTTATATATTCAGTGCCTTGTTCATTGTGGGAATGCAATAAATGTTTGTAAACTAAAAGAATGGACAAATAAGGTTATATGGGGCAAAAATGAGTTGGACTTTGAGAAAGGCTTTGCTTCCTGTACTGTTTGCTTCATAAGAGCTAAAACATAGAGCACTCAATTCCTGGACTGACTCAAGACATTCCATGAATTATTTCTTTTTTCCTCAGGATAGTCGTAGGAAGCAGTTGCTGTTTTATCATCCTCTTGTAATAGATGAGGAGACCAAAGTTAAGAGAAGTAAAGAAACTTGTCTTGGGTCAAACAACTGGCAAGTGGTAGAACTGGGATTTAAAACAGGAGGGCCTAAATTTAGAATCTATGCTGGAAACCACTGTGTTATACTATCTTCTAGCTGGAAAGCATTTGGGAAACTTCACCTCTTTGGTTGACTTGTAGTGTTCCTATTTTATTCTTCCCCACATCTAATAACTCACTTGATTTTCATATGGCACAACTTTAGCAACATGAAATGCTGTTCTTTTCTGTTTTTTATTTTTATTTTTATTGGGGAACAGTGTGTTTTTCCAGGACCCATCAGCTCCAAGTCAAGCTGTTGTTTCAAATACTGTTATTTTCTTCTCTGGCCTGCCAATCTGGCAAAAAGTTTGGGCCCATAAATTATTAATTGCATTTATAGTCTTAATGACAACCAATCATTTTATAGCCCCTTGGATAGCAGTTGAGTACAAAGTCTTTTGTTACACACACGAAAAAGACCATGTCCTCCCTGTTCAAAGGCTGGGATAGAGCTGCCACATCATTATTTCAGTGACTCCAATTTGCCAATTTTACAGGAGCTATGACTTGTGATGATTTACTGTAGCCATAGGTTAAAGTGCACTGTGCTGCTATCTTTCAATTATACGATAAAGTACTTTGGAAAAACATGACCCTGGAGACTAAGAAACTATGTGGAATCACACTAGAAGCTACATTGCTCTCAGAAAGATCATTATTTAAAGTCCCACTTTAGCTTACTATGGGAGAAATTATGAAAGGAAACACTGAACTGCTGATCGACAGTTTTCTTTAAGACCATTTTCTACCCTAACCTCAAATTAAGTTTTACTGCCTGAAATTTCTTTGATTTCAAGGATGCTCATCAACATATATTTTTTTGTCTTTCCTGAGCCCCTGTTTTAAGCTCCCATATTTACATTATAAACGAGAGCCCATTAAAATACTTAGATACATCTTTTTTGCATACCCACTCATCTCCCCTATGTGTGTTTGGACATGACTCTAGTTTTGTCTACAAACCATAAATGAAGTTGGAAACATGACAGTTTTCTGGTTAAGTTGATTAACACTGACAACCAAAAGATGCCTCAAGTTACAGCATAAATTCTTTCTTGGCCTGAAATGCTCATCCAGTTAACTGGATATTTGCCAGATTTCCATTTCTGGTTTTCACTGTTAGTATTGATTAAATTAACTATGTGGCTGCTGAGTCAGCCCTATTTCTAGCCATCGATTTGCTCTCTGAATCTGGCAGTGTGGCTTCTGTACACACACACTCAACCTCCAAAATAAATGTGACACCTTGAAAATGTAATTCTTCATGTATTTTTTCACTTGTCTCTTTTCCAGGGTGCCATTTCCTAGCTATGTTCTGTCTTTAGATACATATCAAACACACATTTAGAGACATAACTCCAGCTGAGTAGACCAAATAAAATGACTAATCTCTGTTTGCTGGCATCCTTTTTGTTTGATTTTGTGATTTGGCCAGTTAATGGAATTTTGCTTGCTTTTATTCTTAGAGAATGTATAAATTAAAGGAATTGTATAGAACCATTTTCTCCCTAAGGAAAAACTATGAATAATCCCTGCTGATTACAAGGGGAAATGGACCCTTAAAATTTGGCTGGAAGAGGCACTTCATCTCCTTCCCCACGACTCACCCATCTCTCTCTATTTTTGGTCTTCTTGGGTTAAAGGCTGAGTTTGTAACTAGGTTGTGCCACTGCCTCTCTCCAGAAGCTCTGGGGACTGTGAATTTAGATAAGAGCCCTGTGCTCTCAGATGTTCAGAGCTCATTTCAAACTAAATGAAGAAATCAGTTTTATGGCCTGAATATAATAAAACTTACTCAGTTCCTGTTGTGAAATAATAAATTTAAGATTACTGCTGTGACAGCACATGGACTGAACTGCAAAGTTCTGACTTTATTATTTTTTTAATTATTGAAAGCCTGTTCAATTCTAACAGTTTTAACACTTAGTTTATTTGGACACCAGTGCTGCCTTTACTTTGGATCTCAGTGGTTTGCACTAAGGGGACAGAATTTATGTTCTAAAGGTAGCTGTCATACAAAGGAAAAAGAGACCTGTCCAGTTTTCTAGTTCTACGGAAATTATAAAAACTAATAGAAAGAATGAAAAAGAAATTCTCTTTATGTCTCATAGTTTACATTGTTTAGCTTTCCAGAAAACAAAAAATGTCTAACACCATTTCCTTAGGAACCTAGTGGTCAATGTCAAAACTCGATCCATGGAAATGGGCCAGAAATAGAAAAGTGCTTAGTCTTATGTATAGTCCAAGGATTAAATCTGAGAACTGGGTTCCCTGACATTTTAGGTCAAACTTTATAAAGCGTTCAGACACATTTTGTAGCCTAGAAAGTGAGAATACCGATGATAGTACAAGTATTTCTTTTCACTTGCTTTCTAAAGTAATTAAGACTCAGTCCAAAATAGTCATGGTCCGTCCATAGGCATATAAGTATTGCCCCTGTTTGAGCCCTTCTGTCTGTATTTGGGCTCAAGCGATCCAGTTATGAACCTCTAATAGTCATGATATCTGGAGATATCATACTCCCAAATATTTGAAAAGGAAGTTACACTGTAATTCCCAAAAAGCAAGAAGACCCAGTTTACAAAACTCAGCTTTGGATCTGAGAAATTGTCAGTGATTTGTTTGAGAATCTGATACCATGGATTTTCAGACACTGAGGTCACAATTCCAGTTCCTTTTTAACCTGGACAAACACAATTCCAACATTTATAGGTTTGTCCAGTGTGATGGCTAAAATTGATTGCTGGCTGGATAAAGTAAATCTGTCACTAGGCAAAGTATATGTAGAAAATAAAAACAGGGATTTGAGACACTTGTTTGGATAATTCAGGGAAAATAATCTCCTTCTAAGGTATGAGAGAGTTTCCATGTAGGCTGAATTGTTCAGATTGGTATTAATTGCATTCATTGCATAATTAATGAACTTTCTGTTTTACTTGAAAAGTTGTGGTTGGCTTTAAAGAAAAATAGGGAGTCATTCAGGATATTTCTGGTAGAAATGTTAAGCTATAATTATTGTAGACCTTGGGAATTTTTAGAGAAGCTCTATCCATCCCCTATTTCTAAATCATGTGATCTGTTTGGAGTTAATACAGGGTGAAAAACGACAGACTGCTTTCCAGAAAATTATCTTTGTATTTTTATCCTTGTTTCTCAAACATGAGCTAAATTATCAAAATGGTATGCAACATTGTTCTTACCCCTGTGCCTATAATATCAAGGATGAAACAAAGCCAAGATAAGCCAGTTACTACTGCAGTCAAATCATAGTCGCCCTCCTCATCCCAACCTCTTTTCCCTGCCTTCTGAAGGAAAACTCAAAGCAGTGCCTGGAGCAGGCCATGCAATGGTAGCTATCTCAACCTGAAATCTTCCCACTTTCTCTCTCTCTTCATACCTAAGACAAGCGTGAATGCCCTGGAGGGCCAGAGGAAGTCAACGATGTGAAATTGCTCCCATGAGCATTATGGCTGTGCCTGGGCCCTTTTCATAGCCCTTGGTGGCTGTGTTATCTCAGCAGTGTCCAGAGTGGTGATTGCTATTCTCTTCCAAAAACCTATGTGTTAGCTGTATTTATCCCTTGGTTAGTTTTAGTTTCAAGCAGAGTTACAGGTAGAGAACATATTGACATGTTCAAAGAGACTGTTCCTGATTTCTCTTCCTTGGGCAATCTTTGTTTTCACAGAAACCCCAGCCTAAACCCGTGCTCTCTTTCCTTCCCTATGCTATGCCCATCATGTTCAGAGCCTTCATTATCAGTCTCCCCAAGTTTCATATTCTGCTGGTCCAGCTTCTTACGCATAGGAATTTAAATAGCTTCTTTTCACAACAAAAGATATCCCAGCTTTGGAGTAACAGATCTCTCTTTCTCCCAGAATTGGTAGGGGTAAGAATCTGACCTTTCCTGCCACTTATTTAACCAAATGTGATAAGTGATACATTTTTGCTTCATTTATGTTTGTCCTTTTTTTCCCCCCTTAGGTCAAAAACTTCTATGCATATGAAGATGAGCCAGTTGCCATAGAAAATCTCAAGAGAGGCCTGGCTAGCCTATTTCAGATGCAGTTAAGCTCTGGCACCACCAATGAGGTACTTAACTAATATTATTAAAAATCCAGAATCTTATTTGTCAATAGAGTTACCAAAATTGTTTGTATGGATTTCTACTTGCAGACATGCAGTAGAATGTTACTCCTATGATAATGCTCAGAAAAGGTAAGTTGACGGTGGTAAAGTCTTACTTACATATGAAACAGATTGCCAATGACACCAATGTGTACTCAAATACAGGGTAAAGAGAGTTGGACTCAGTTATACTAAGGAGGCCTATAGAATGACTGAATGATAGAGGTGTATAAAACCTTGGGGAGTGTTTCAGTGGCATCACTGCATTTAATAATACCATGGGGAGATTACTAAAAATTAGATTTCCAGGATTCACTGCAGAGCTCCTGATTGAATAGACTAGGGAGGACCTGAGCATCTGTATTTTAAGTTTTCTCAGATAATTTGGATGCATTGTCAGTTTGAGGACCCATTGGTCTATACCAACCCACATCCTTTTACAAAGAAACTAAGGTTAAACTAGCGAAGTTCAGTACCACACCTGGATTCAAAAGCAGAGCTGAACCTGAGTTGCCTAGTCTGGATTCAGACAGCCCAGGGATGGGTGAGAAAAATCTGATGGCGGGCCTATCCAAGGAAATGTTAGTTAGCTTGCTACAAGGGAGGCTGGGCGTGGTGCTGGCAGAGGCCCGCAGGGAGGCTGACAGAAGCTAAACAGAGTCTGTATTGGGATACACTTGCCTACGCTCAATTTGTTGATGTGACTTATAATAAATTGAATTAACCCAACATATTTTTAAAGATTTCTAATCATACCCAGCTAATCAAAGTGCACACACACATACACACTCACACACACACACACTCACACACATAGCCTAGATATAACATTAAAAGTCAGTTCCCCTTGCCACATAATTACCCGTTTACCAGAGATCTTGATTATGACCAGGCTATTTGTCCAATTCTTATTAGACATTAGAGAGAAGTAGGAAATCCTTGATTATTCCCTGGTCAATAAGAGGGCACTAGGAAGGCTCAACCAGAGGATGGAAAAGAATCCACATGCTGCAGAAAACACTGGGCTCTTTCTGTCTTCCGATCTTGTCCGCCTGGACAAAAGAGCAGCCCCCCGTGACATATTAGGGACCCCAACCTTCAAGCCAGTTCCCACTGGAATTCAAGTGGTCCATGTGAGAATCCCCAAAATTATACTTTTACTTTTATTTTTAGGTAGATATCTCTGGGGATTGTCAAGTAACCTACCAGGCTCATCAAGACAAAGTGACCAAAACTAAGGCCTTGGATTCATGCAAAATAGAAAGGTCTGGATTTACAACTCGAAATCAGGTATGATTGATATAATTTTCTTTGAAGCAGCCAAAGGATTACATTTTGTAGAAGTTAATTTAAAATAATAGAAGAATAAGGTAATGATATCATTTGGGAACATTTATGAGTTTTAGTTTAGGGTATAGTTTCACATAGTATCAAATGAGTAGTTTCATTTTAGTATGTTATAGGTTTGAATGTTGGGGGAGAGTATAAAGGGGAAGCACCTTTGAAAATCAAAAGATTTGATATTTGACTTAATTCAAACATAAAAAGATGATTACATGTTACAACTACATTCATTTATTTATTTATTTGTTTATTTATTTATTTATTTAGATCTTGGGTGTAACTTCAAAAGCCACATCTGTCACTACCTATAAGATAGAAGACAGCTTTGTTATAGCTGTGCTGGCAGAAGAGACTCATGCTTTTAGGCTGAATTTTCTACAATCCATTGCAGGCAAAATAGTATCAAAGTAAGACAATGCTGAAATTTTAATTTTTTTTACTCTTCTCTTCTTTAATATATTTTTATATTTGGTTTTTAAATGTGTATAGTGCTTCCTCATTTTGACTGTGAGTTCCTTGAAAGCAATGATTATATCTTGTTTGTCTTTTATTTTTCACATTATCTACAGTAACTATGGCATGTAGTAAATACTTACTGTTTTTTAAATAGAATTTCATTAAAAATTAATTGTTAATAGAATAGAATTTAAATTTTAAAAAGGCAATCTACTTGATTCATTCTAGTTTATTTTCTAATTTCTCTGTCAAATGTTTTCAATGTTAGGGTTAAAAGTGGTGGCATTTGCATGTTCTCCCCTCAGGATTTTTTTGTTGTTATTGTTGTTAATAAACACATAAAAAGTTTCATAGTAAAGTGTGTGACAGAATTTTTTATGTGATTTATAGTACTTACGTATTCAAACTTGTTATTTCAATTTGAGTTAAGTTCTCTGGTCAGAATAGTTCTCACAGGCTTAAGAACTGGAATTTTAAATCTAAGAGTATGTGTTATTTTCAGATTTTAATTTAGAAGAACATTTTCTAGCCTTAAATGTGTTATATCTTAAGCCATTGTTTCTCAAATATTTCCTCTGAAGTAGCCCTCATGTCAGAAGTGAATGAATGTAAAATTTTGGGAGAAGTGCCTCAAACCATAAATTCTTGAAATTGTACTGAAGTCTCATCTGGAGTAGAACTTTGTATTCTACTATGGTTTTCATATATTTTCAAATAAATTAATATTTTTAATTACTTATCAGGTCTATCAGGTTTCCATTGCTCTATAACAAATCACTCCAAATTTAGTAGTGTAAAAAGCAACATTCATTTTATTATTCTCTCCCATAATTCTGGGGCTTGCCCTGGCCCACTAGATAAGCCTTGCTTTGGTGTCTGTTATACAGTTGCAGATAGTCACTGACCAGAGCTGGCTCAAAGGTTGCTCCTTCATCTCTCTGGTGTCTGGGTTGGGGAGACATAAATTAATGAGGCTCTTCATGCATTTCTCTTCATCTCCATGTGGCATCTCAACATGGCGGCTTCAGGTAGCTAGACTTCTTACATGGCAGCTCAGGTCTCCAAAGGTACATGAACTGCTAGCACGTCTGACAAAAGCTGAATTCTCTTTTATGACTTAGCCTTAGAAGTCACATAGTGTCAGTTCTGTCATCTATTAGTTGGGACAGTCGCAGAGTCCTGCCCAGTCTCAAGAAGAGGGATGTGGACTCTATTTCTTGATGGAAAAGAGACAGGGTTCTAAAAGAGCATATAAGACAAAAATGTTCTTGAGGCCATTTTTGGCAAAAAAGATTTCCAAACTGTCTTAGTTAATAAGTGACATGTGGTTGTATTGAAGATATCATTTTCAGAAAGCTGGGCTAAATTCAAATGAGGTGGCATTACATATCTTGTTCAGCATCCAGGCAAATTGGCTTCCCTGCATTATTGTCATTATATTTTGAAAACCCAGAATTAAATTTTCAACCTTTGAATAAAATTCTGCTCCAGAAAGATTTCATAATTATCTTGAGGTTTCTGTTACTGCTGCAGATATCATAGTTTGAAAAACATGCAAAGACTTAAACAACTTGAATAAGTCAGTATCTTGTTTGAAACAAAAAAGGGCAATTAGTAGCTTCTTTACTCAATAGAATGCTGCTCATGTGATATTTCTCTTCCTTGGTTATATAGGCAGAAATTAGAGCTGAAGACGACTGAAGCAGGCCCAAGACTGATACCTGGAAAGCAAGTTGCCACCGTAATTAAAGCAGTTGATTCAAAGTACAAGGCCCTTCCCATCGTGGGGCAGGTCTTCCAGAACAAGTGTAAAGGGTGCCCTTCTGTAAGTGTGAAAAACTGCATTGTGTGACCAAATATGGGAATGATCATGGTTTAAAATGCCATTTGCCTTTTGTCTCCAATGGAAGTTTCAGTTAATTTTGTGAACTACCAGTCACCAATGAATTTTAATGATAGTAGCCTAATATTATGCATCTGAGATGATGCATGACACAATAATTAACAGATAATCACTGTCCACTCATCTCAAATAAAAAACACTATGACTTAAAGGCAGCTTCTTAAAAATATCACTTAGAATACAGGGGAAATCAAGGCCTAGTAAAGTTAGGGGGAGCACAGGGTATCAAGAGCATGGACTGGGGTCTGAATCCAGAAAGTTCTGCCACTTAGTAGCAATATGTCCACAGGTGAAATGTATTACTGAGCTCAGTGTTCTAAATATTGCTGTGAGGACTAAAAACAGACACCAAGCTCTTTGCCTAGATTAGGGAACACTTCCTTACCACAGCCCAGCCTTCTCTACAATTACAGCTAGAAATGAGATAACACATCCCCAAGGCATAGGGTAAATCATCTTGTAACATTTTTAATCCAGCTAAAAAGAAATTTCATTTATTGAACGAATCAGTTGTGACATGTGGCCGCAGAAATGACTCTAGGGTCCAGTATTTGCTAATATTTAACCTCTTGTCAGGAGAGCTGACCCTTGGCTTCATGCCCTGTTTGTAGCTACCAGAAAATGCTCTTCCTTTGGATATTATGCTCTTCCCTTGGAATCATCAAGAACTAATATAATAATTTGCTTAAAGTACAAGGAACTAATTCCATACTAGTTTTTCAAATATACCAAAAGTGAATTAAGGGAAAACTAAAATGAAATAGAAAATCATTACTCTGAACCTTTGTTTTCCTTTTTTTGTTTTTCTTCTATCCCATTTAATGTTCCAGTATAGTTTTCTAATGTCATATGAGATGGAAATTATTTAGGAAAGTGATTAATGAAACCAATCATGTTTTCTTATGTTGTGAACTATAATTTCT